TATCGCTACCATATGGGTCGAAAGATTTTGTGGTATACAGTGATGCTTCGAAGTTGGGTTTGGGATGTGTATTGATACAGCAGGGGAAATTTATCGCATATGCTTCCAGACAGTTGAAGAATCACGAGAAATAGTACCCTATGCATGATATGGAGCTTATTGTCTTTGTTTTTGCTTTAAAGATTTGGAGGCATTATCTATTAGGGAGTAAATGTCAGATTGACACTAATCATAAAAGTCTTCAATATTTATTTAACCAGAAGGAATTGAACATGCGGCAAAGACGATGGATCGAACTGGTGAACGATTACGATTACAAAATTCTTTATCACCTCTGGAAGGCTAATGTGGTGGCTGACGTGCTTAATAGAAAAGAAAAGAGTGGAATGATTAAAGCCACTGCGTTAAGAGCAAACTAAATCCCTGACATTCTTAACGAGATTTTGAAGGAATATTAGTAACCCTGACGAAGAACGATAGATGAATTCTATGTTTCCAAGATAGAATCTAGATTCCACATTTTAGGAATAACCGTAAACTAATTTTAGACRAAAGTYACAAATCTTGATACTYTATTCATYCATGTAYCAATAAAATATACAAAGGTYTAAAACCATTCTATTGGTGCCTAGGATTGAAGAAAGATATTGCAAAATACATGGAGGGATGTTTGACGTGTCTACAACTAAAGATTGAACATCAACGACCATATGGGAATTTGCAGTCTTTGGAAATTCCTATGTGGAAATAGGATCATATCACAATGAATTTTATCATAAAGCTACCRYGAACTCCAAMAGAATATGATGYCATATGGGTTAWTGTAGATCGKCTAACGAAATCTTCACACTGTCTACCGATTAAAGTGAATTATCCTTTAGAAAGGCTTGTGAAGATTTATCTCAAGGAAATAGTGACTCGTCACGGTGTTCCCTTCTCAATCGTTTTAAATAGGACAGTCAATTTACCTCAAAGTTTTGGAAGAGCTTTTAGAGAGCCATGGGATCTCAGATTCGGCTAAATACAGTGTATCACCCTTAGACAGATGGGCAGAGTGAAAGAACAAATCAAATTCTCGAAGACATTTTGAGAGCTTGTGTCATCGACTTTTGGGGATCTTGGGAGAATCATTTGCCTTTGATTGAATTTGCTTATAATAACAGTTATCATTCCAGCATCCAAGCGGCACCGTATGAGATTTTGTATGGTAGAAAGTGCAGAAAGTCGTTGTGTTGGAATGAGGTGGGGGGAAACAGTTGGTTAGTTAGGAGATTGTTCGGATACCAACTGAAAATATAGATCAAATCCGAGAAAGAATAAAGACAGCTCAGGACCGATAGAAAAGTTATGCTGACAGACGCCGAAAATCGATTGAGTTCCTGGAAGGAGATTTTGTGATGTTAAAAGTTTATCCGTGAAAGGGTATTGTACGATTTAGGAAGAGAGATAAGCTCAGTCCAAGATATATATTAGGTCATTCATAATTTGTAAAAGGTTGGTACAGTAGCGTATCAGTTAGAGTTGCCTAAAGAATTTGAGGCTATTCACAATACTTTACATGTTTCAAACTTGTGAAAGTGTTTACTGATCCAAATATGGTCATGCCACTACCTGAGGTTCAGATTGATAATAAGTTGAATTTCGTGGAAACCTCGGAGGCCGTCACTGACTAGAAGACAAAGATATTGAGGAATAAAGAAATCAATCTGGTGAAAGTATAGTGGCGTTTTCATAAGGGTCAAACAGCTACTTGGGAACTAGAATCTAAGATGAGAGCTAAATATCCTCAGTTGTTTGATTGAATGAATTCCGAAATGGATTTCTTTTAAGGGAAGGATAATATGATAATTGGGTTTATCGGTTATAAAGTTCGGGGTTTTTTTGAATAAAGGTGGTAACTTGAGCTGTTTATTTTGATTATCACCACCTGATTACTTGTTTATTCCTATTAGTTGAGATATTTGTTATATCTCCTTGGGATGGTAAAAAGAAAAGAAAGAAGGAAAAAATAAAAAGGAGTTTTTACTGTGTGTTTTGGAGCCGAGAAAACAAAACCAAAAGAGGAAGTAAGTAGAAGCTGATTTTTGTGATTCTTGTACTGGATAATTGTTGTCAATTTTCATCTTCATATTTCCATCTCTTTCTGATCATAAGGTGGGTTTTATTTTATAAACTTTCATCTTACTGTGTTTGAACACGAACCATATGGTTCTATACGTGGGGTGTTCTAAAACTATCATTATGCCATTTTTAGCATAATATTGTATTTTGATATGTTAATATCAAATTATTGGAATAAGCCAATAAGGGTAGCATAATCAGGAGAGGTATATTTTGGGATAAGGGTGACATAATCATCTATATGTGAAAACTGGGATTTTGATCATATGACAAACTGTTGTCGTATTTTTATGATGCGATGGCTTTGAGTTATCGCACATGTGTGATGCGATGACTTGGGTTATCGCATTCTATTGATGCGATGAGTTGATTTTGTCGCACCCTTGTGATGCGAGAAGGGAGTTTTGTCGCATCATTGTGATGCAACAAATTGAGTTGTCGCATCCTATTGATGCGACAAACTGTGTTTATCACATACATTGGATGCGATAGATGGTTCCTTGCACTTGTATGTTGTGAGGAAATGGGGTTGTCTCACCCATGTAATGCGAGAAAATTATGGTTTTATCTATATGATGCGACAAGTTTATATGTTATGCGATAAAGGGTATATTTGATTATTTGACGTGATAAATGGCTAATGTCTCATCATTTTGATGCGATAAAAGAGGTTTGTTTGATAAAACTATGTTTATTTGTTATTTATACAAATATGAAATTTATAAAAGTGTTTTTGTGATTTTCACCCCGTAATAGCAATCAAAGAAATTTCTCACTAGACCTCATAGTCTAACCCTCATTTTGGTGTTTTAAAATATGCATTACAGGTCGGATACAATCTAATGATAAGGGGAAGAGAAAACTATGAAGAATTTATGATTGTTTGCATGTAGATTTTGGTATGATTTGATGTTATTTGTTCCTGATTACTTGTTATGTATACAAGTCTTGTACTGGGATTATGTGAAAAAGTTTGTTAGCTACTTTTGTAATTTAGTTTTTGTATATATTGGGACCAATTTTGTAAATTTGTATTTCATGATATATATAAAATATATGGTTATATACAAATGTAATTATGTGATGTTATATAAAATTATGGGTTGTTACAATCATAAAAAAATTATCATAATAAAAAATAAAATTTAATTCAAATATTGGATATAAAAATTAATTACTAAGGGCCTCCTTTACCAACTCAGAAAGTAACCGAAACTTTCAAAATAACGTGGCAAAAGAATAAAAAAAATTAAGATTACATATATCCACATCATTTATTAAATAAAATCCAGACTCATATTACACCTCCATCGTCAGCCACTTTTCTCCAGCCACCATCCTCCGTCCTCCTTTTTCGCCAACAGATCTCTCGCCATCTAAACTCCTCCATTTATGTTTATTATCAATTTATTTACCTTAAGAAAGAATAAAACCTACAAGAAAGCCTTTGGCCTTCTAGAAAGTCAGGGGTTCAAACCTCACCATAGGTGAGGAGGATGCATGAGTTTATTTGTTGCATTTGTCGTATATAAATATTATATACTTTAAAAAAAAACTTGCTAAAGGTTTATTAAAAATATTGATTTTAAATGTTTATGATATTGGGTCTCCTCATGTACATGCATCAACCCCAAAAATTCAAAAGGGTAATCTCCATATCATCCTTTTGTAGATACGTTGGGTGTTATATCGTTTCTCTTTTCTAAATCGTAAGTGTTAGATCCGTCTATTAGCATTTAAGTTTTGGTATTTGAATAGGAAGCAAAAAAGTTTAAGGCCCAAATTTATCTACTTCAAATTTATATAGCTCAGCCTCTGAACCAACCTCAATTAAGGGGCTGTTTGACAGTTGCTGAATGGTTTAGTGTAGAATGATTAAGTGGTCAGGATGATTAAGAGACTCTGTATGATTCAGACATTTTTTAAAACCTATCCAAACAAGAAAATGTCTGACCGAATCAGACCCTTACCTCTTAATGGTATCATTAAGAGGTAAACAAACAACCCCTAAAACATATATTTGCAAAATCAAAAATGGTAATTTAATTTCAAATTTTGCCGATATTTAGATCCATGGTGTAAAGGCTTGTGTTATTAGGATTGGCCCATCCAGACGTTTAACAATAAAAAATTTAAGCCCAATTCCAAATTTCCTTGTGTAATCTGGACTAGAGATGGCCAAGTGGGCACGACCCTCCGGTTACCGGCAGAGGATCGAGATTGGGACCGAGACCGGTTTAGGACTGATCCAGTCTGAGACTGATTGGGACCAGTTTGGGATCGACAGTTAGGGACCGGTTATGGTTTTCATCCAAAAATAAGGCCCGACCCTGGACCGGTTTGGGATCGATTATACGCTCGGCCCAGGGCCGGCCCAATTTTTTTTCAAAAAAATGTATTTATATATGTATTTTTAAACGTATTTTTAGCTTTCTAAGTGTATTTGATTGAAAATCAAATTACAAATTTACAATAAAACATATTTTTTAAGTGTATTTGATTGAAAACTAATTATAARACTATAATAAAATGTAATTTTTAAGTGTATTTGATTGAAAAYCAATTATAAAACTACAATAKAAYGTATTTTTTAAGTGTATTTGATTGTCYTAATTAAATATTTTAAAATATATTAGAATAACATTAAAATATTTTTAAAAATTTATCAAAAAGTAAATGTTCTTTAATATATGACTAGTTTGGACCCGGGACCGGTTATTGTAACTGGTTATAAGTATTTTTAACCGGACCTTAGTATTTTCGATGTAACCGATCCCAATCCGGATTGTTACGGTTTCATTTCAGTCCAGGATCTTTTGGGCCGGGCCGAGWCCGGTTTGTGGCCCTGTCTAATCTGGACCCTCAATGAAACAGAAACCGAGTCGCCCAAAACTCAGAATAGAATCTCTCCATCTCGAGTTCTCGACTGTCAGAGTCAAGGTTATGATCGATTGGTAAGTTGAAATTAGATATTTCTAGAGTTTAATTCATAAAATAAWTGAAAATTACCTSGTATTTTGGTGTTTGTGTTGTGTGATTGTCAATTTGTCATTGTAATATTTCAATATTCCATCCTCCAATCATTTACAAATCTATTGCAGATCATCAAAATTATTGCTTTGATGGTATTGGATTGAAACTTGAAAGTGTTCAATATTTTATCCTTGGCAGTCTTACAAGGAATCCATGATTATTTAGTTAATTATTAGTGTTATTGAAACTTGAAAGTGTTTAATTACTAGGCAGTCTTCAAAGGGATATCTGATTATTGCGTTAGCTATTAAATGTTTAATCACTTGGCAGATTTTAGCTTTCTGTTGAATCTTGCAAGGAATCCATGGTTATTGAGTAATCCTCACGAAGTAGGTATCACTCATGATATCAAAGTGTTTTTATGAGCACCAACTGTTTGATAAAATTCATCAATGAACAACACATGTTCTCTTTGAAGTAGAATGTATGATGGAAGCTTGATTAATGTTGCCATCTTGGTCGTTGTGTATTTCCTTTTGTAGGTTCTCTTTGCTTCATATTGCTATCTTGGTTCTGTTCACTTATTGGTTGCTATCTTGTAGAAACCCTTGTTACCTTGCCATTGTGTAAAGTATTTCATGTTTGGATTTAGCAAAAAAGTAAAACTGGACAGCAGCAATGAGCTGCTGAACAGCAGTTAAATATGTGCAAAAATAGTTCCAAAATTGTTTGCTATACATGAGCTACTTGTAATGTACAACCAATTGAGTGTTGAATATTTGTGATTCTAAAGTCGGTTTGTCTGGATTAGTGCAAAAAGTTAAATCTTTTGGATAAACTTGAATTTTGAGGGGAAAATCTGAGTTGGGTTTCTGAGTGTTTTGAATTTCCAGGGGAATATTGAGGTGGGTTTGTGTTAATTTGTTCAAAAGTGAAACAAATTACGATTCATAATCTTAGGAGATACATTTCTGAGTATACAGACAGTTTCTTGATCAATTGGTATAGAACCTATCTTTGTAATCATTATTCATAGTTTTTAGGTAGAAAACTTTCCATTCTATTGTAGTTGGTAAACATTGTGAATAATATCTTGCCTTCAGTCTTATATTATATTTGTGAAAGCAATTTGTTGTTTACTTGATATTAGTTTGGTAAAAAAAAACAAAGAACTTGTGTGCAAATAGAAGCAACAAACAACACCTTCACATTTATGATCATGTCGTCATCCATCTTTTAATTAGGTTTCACAGTACCAGTTAAAGAAAATTCACCAAATTTTTTTATTTGATGTGGGTCATTGTGGTTATCTATCCCAATTTACTGATGACAGCAAACTAGCTATTGCCCTTGCAAAATCTTGTTGAATATGCACTTACAGAGCACACCGAAACAAATTGCCACTTTGTTTGAGAAAAGATACAACAAGGGCAAATATTGTTAGTTTATTACCCCCTCAAGAACTCATCTTGCAGACATTCTGACCAAGGTATTGCCAAAAAGATCCATAATCTTTGTTTGTCCAAGATGAACATCTGTAACCTACACAAACCTTCATCGTTTTCTTTTCTTTGGAGGGAACTGATAGTGAAGTTGGTACTCTTAATTATAATGCAGCAGCAGTGAGCATCATGCAAATTACATTACCCAATATTGTCAATAGTACCTATAGTAATTTCAGCTAGCACATTTTCAGGGAATTAACTTTATTCAAGTCAGTTATAGTTGTTGAGTGATTTTCATGCAACCCCACACCACATCACCTAAGCTTCTGTTTTTTGTTGCTTAAGTGTGCCTTCCTCTGTTTTACAAACATGGGATGCACTGGATATGGTCTTGATGCATAGAGGATGGAACACTAGATAGTAATGTAGAAGATTTACCAAACATTTACTGAACAACCATTTTTCATTCTGCACTAAATCATATAGAGTCTCTTAATCATTCAGCATCTACCAATCCTGCCGTTAGATAGCTCACGGCTTCCACCAGCCTGCCTCTGCCGTCTTCACCTCCAATCAGGTAATATGTTCGTCCATTTCCCTCCACTTATTTTTCAGATTCTCTTTGTTAACAACATGATTAATTTCTATTGTATGTTATGATTTTGGTTAGATCAACTGTTTCAAGTTCAAGAGAAGTAAACAGAATGCCATCTCTTCAAACAGCATTGCCTCCTGAACTTGCCAACAACGCCATTAGGGTTACTCACTCTTTTCTCTGTATTACACACTGTTAATCAGGGGATTTGGTTACAAATTTTAAAATTAATGTTTGAAGTGTTGCCGTTCCAACATAATAACCTTTGGATGTCAAAACATGATCACTTCAGTCTGAAATCAAGTAGAGGAACTTTTAATAACCACAGTGAATTCATAGAAATATACTTCAAATCGTGTGATTTTGGTGTTAAATCGACTAGAGTAATTGTGTCTGGAATTTCCACATGGGAAGTACTATTTGTGGCATCAAAAATCAAATGTAGCTCCTGTTATGGGATTGAAGGGATTATGAAATGTGATTTTGTATGGTTACCCATAAGGATAGTGAAACCTATCCTCTGCTAATTTGTGTTTTCTCTTATGATTTTGTAGCTATACCGTGAATGCCTACGCAGAGCCAAGTACATTGGTCATAAGGTATGTACGTACATAAACACACTTGTGAGTATTTGAGTTGATGGAATTATGTTTCTGTTACCATTTGGGATCAGTGGACATCATTTTTAGTTTGTTATATATGGACTTTGAGTTCTTGCAAACAGCTATATAAAATTTATTAAGAAAATTTAAATATGGTTAGAACTTCAGTTAATTACATAAGCAAATCTTTAATGTAGATGTTATCATCATGAATTGGAGTTGGCATAAAAAATGTGGATGTTGCATAGTGCACATGGAGATTATGCTTGTGACTAATGGGTAAATATCATATGGGAAACAAAATGGCCTCATAGGAGCACCTAGAAAGAGAAATCTAAACGTCAAAGTGCATTGAGAGTGTACTGAAATGGTGTCCCAACCTCTCAATTTTGTAATGTTTAGCCTTTTCCATTCACCATTAATTTTGTAATGTTTGGCCAGGAGAGGACTCCATTTCTAAGACAAAGTAACTAGACGCAGGGTGGCAGTGTCTAGCATCTAGGTGCTTCTTCCCCTTGTCATCTCCCCTGTATCTAATGCTTAAGGTTATCTCATTAAGTTAGGAATGGCACATTAGTTTTACCAAGTCTTTGTACATGATCTTTTAATTACATTGTGCAAAGAGGCCACATCTGTTTTGAGAGCTACACCGCCATGCTATAAAATGGTCTAGCAAAGCGGTTTGTATATATATATATATATATATATATATACATATATATATATATTATATATATACATATATATATATTATATATATACATATATATACATAAATATATATATATACATAAATATATATATAATATATATTATATATATATATTATATATATATATATATATATATTAACAAGAAAGTCAAAGGGCAATAGGATTGGAAGGGAGACGCTTGTGATCCGGTTGTATTTCCTCTGCTTACCATATTGCTATGCTGCCCATTTTTGCTCCAAATATTATCAGGAGATAAAAACATGTCACAGAATTTCAAATGTTAGATAATTCAAATACTTTTCACATTGTTACCATATTAACATTCTATTACGACTTCATGTAACTGTAGCAACATAACACGGAGCTTGTTGTTCAAATGGTGAGGCAGCAATTCCGAAAGCACCTGCATGAGACAGATCCAGAGAAGATTCAGAAGCTGAAAGACGAGTAAGTTACTTTTCATTGCATTTGTGTTTTTGACGTATGCTGTATGCAGAGAGCTTCAACTGTAGGTATCATGACCAAGCATTTAGGTTGAGAATTCACCCTCTTTATCAGCTTCTTTACGGTGGGATGAACTTTCGACCATACCTCTGAATTATTGACCATGAATACAATACACAGGAATTTCATTCTTGCAAAGTAGAGTGTAACCTCAAACATTCAAATTTGGGATTTCTGAGATCCCAACCTCCCGAAAGGTCAAGGGATGTGTATGAGTTTTGTCGTATATGAATATTATATAATTAAAAAAAATACCAAGAGGGTACTTTTGTTTGAGTGCAACAGATTGACATTTGTGTGTATTTGCAGTGCAGCAAGAGGACTTATAAACCACATATTATATGAGGCTGAGGAGATGACAGGCAGGAAATTCAGCTGAACATCATAAACCCATCTGCTTCTGATAATTGCTCTTGAAGTTTCAGAAGAATCTTCATCTTGACTTTTCTGGGGTCAAATGTTAATTGAATAATTTGACTTGAAACTTGAATTTTATTAAGTCTTGCAGTGAGACTGAGCTTCATTTTGTATGTGATCAACTCTTGAGCTGAGATTGCATTGCTTTTCTTGTTTGGTTCAAGTTGTTTTAATCCTGGTTTACATACAAGAATGCATGAAAATCCAAAGACGGTTTATTCAGCCCAACAATCGAACAACAACTTATCTGTTAATATACAGACAACTATATCAATACAGCTATATCCATACAGGTTTTAACATAAAACAAACCGAACAGCCCCTTAGTCTGATCCTTATTTTATGTAATGTTACTTTGGTTTAAGTGTTTGATATATCATATCTAAAGTATTAAAATGAAGGTTTATAAAAATACGTCACAAAAAATACGAATGAGAGTACCGAGTACTTTTTATTTTCATACAAAATTTTCTTAAATAAATGTACAATGCAATGCTAGAAAAATGATACTAATTGTACCTTACAGAGCTACCAAATCATGAACAACATTAAGATGAAAGTTATCAAAATTTTCTTAAATAAATGTACAATGCAATGCTAGAAAATGATACTAATTGTACCTTACAGAGCTACCAAATCATGAACAACATTAAGATGAAAGTAAAATTGTGAATTTTTGACATTAGAACGTTGCGAGAGCCGGCTTTGAATTCATTCCATGAATGCTTACGAGGTTCACAACCGAACCCGAATGGAATATACCCATCTTCTCCAATAACTTCACAATCAAATCACCGAACAAATAAGAAGCACCCGACACCATGAACCCAAAGGTCACATAATAAGCGATAGTTTTGAAATAAGACTTGTTCTGCACATACGCTTTTCCGGCTGCCAGTATCATGATGCAAATAACGGAAGCTGCTGCCACCATCACAAGCTTCAGATCCCTGTTGTTGCTCTCACGGAAGGAGAAACCGTACACAACTGGAGGGAGGAACCCGAATACAAGATATGATAACAGACAAACCACCATGTGAAGTGCGAAATCTGCTCTTCGTCCCAAAAGTTGTTGGTATCGGTCTTCTGAAGATCCCCTTGTGCGTTCGGCTTTAAGATCCCAAAGCTGTTAAATTTATATCATTAGATTACTCTTCAAAAGAGCTGGTTTATTGGAGGAATTTGAGTATATTCTTGGATAAAACCGTGAGATCGCGTAAAAGCTTGCTTTCGTTAAGTTATATTTCGACCCTTATTTGCCTCGGTATCACGAAATCAACTCGAGGATAATCTCAGACTTGCTTTAACGATTATGGCAGAATCGTAACCGCTCTTATATTAAATAGTAATAACAACTAAGAGGGAAGATATGAAACTTACATCATGACTAATCACGAACAATCCGCCAAATATATTAGCCAGTCCCAACGCTAACACATTCACTGCAAGCATTTGACGATAAAAGATTAACAACAAGCACTCGTAGTTTCAAACCTACTCTCGAGTTGAGGAAATGCAATGCTTACATGTGTCGGCATTAGCACCAGCTGCAGACGACACAACACTAAGACTAGCAATTGATTCCATCAGACCACCGTAAACCATGCTTTTAACTATCTCCAAGCTACGACCACCTGTCAGCGTGGTGGCATCGCCTTGTTGACTCCCACTTTCAACATGCTGCAAGGCCGAAGTTCCAGTCTCACCCGGTGATCTTTGATGGCTGGATGGATCAAGCTGCTTGCTGTCTATAGTAATTACTGTGTCTTTTCCTATTGACATTGTGATAACATATAAATATCACTTGAGAAGCAAATTACCTTCAATCCTTTTTAACAAGTTTGTAGGCACATTTACCTTCGATGCTTTCATTTTTCTTCAATTCTTCAACTTTGATCTGTTTGTCTGTTAAGACATCCTTCAGAGGCTGTTCTAGATGAATTTCGACGTTGTTTTGGACAGTGCGTTCTTCAGACATTGTATTTGTTGATTCAGCTGAAACTTCCCCAGATAGATCATGCTTCAATATCGTATTATCTCATAGTTTAGGTACATTATTTGCCTATGGCTGTGAGGAATCTTATTATATCTCATATGGGTTTTTAGTAGCAACACAAAGGAGGATGTTAGTGTAAGAATACGTGGAATTCCATTAGATTACTCTCCAAAAGATCCCTAAGAGGAAAGAAGGGAGGTTCAATATATATGGATGGAAAATGGTTCAAGTCTAGTTGATATGGGACTCTAAGGGGCCGTTTACCAAACGCTTACATGGGTAAGCGCTTAACGAGTCACATTACTTTACCGGATGAATATGTAAAGGATCAAGAATCTTACTCGGTAAGAGCGAGACAAGTACCAAGAGTCTTACCCGGTAAGTGAGAGCGACGACTCTAGATGCCAGCATTTGTATTTAAAGCAACATTGCTTACATTCAAAATATCAAAAACACATATTTTGTAACGGTAATACCGTCCCTGGAGTAGCGAAACATAAACATTGTTTTGAAAACAAATTTGAAGCAAAAACCATCATGATTACCTGAAGTATTCATTTGAACTGTGACATCAAGCTCTTGATTCATTTGTGAATTGTCAATGATTAAAGATCCCACATTTGGAGGAACAACGAGCCTCAATCCATCATGTTGAAGTGAAGAAATGTCGTCATCTGTAGGCTCCCCGTTATTACTGTTATTATTAGCCGGAGGCATGACGACAAACATTCCTGGATAATCGCTTTTGGCGTTGGAATCTATATGGTAAGAGGTAAGTAACTGATCATGAGTGTCTGCAATCCTTCCTGCAACACGTATGTACTCATTCTCATATGTCCCATGAAAATTGCAACAGTTATAGTCCCTAAATGAATTTGCTTACCGATATTAGTATTATTTGATTCCTCAGCATTAACTTGTTCAATTGTAACAGATTCTTGTGTTGAAGAAGGTGCTGATTGAACTTGATCTTTTACCAAAACTTGACTGTTCGGGTCATGCAAACTTGAGGACGGAATATGGTCAGCAGCAGCCTTGCCCTCCAAATGCATTGTAGCATCGGTAGTACGCGAGCTAGTTTCTTGCCTCAGAACATTCAGCTCATCGAGGTTAGAAGATACATTATTTTCCCTATCAAAACTCTTAACGACTCCTGAATCAAGAGATCAAAGTAGCCCGATAAACATAACAAGAGAATAGATTCCCTTCATATTTCTAGTGTAGGGAGGGAATTACCTTCGTTGTTTGATTGATCCACCTTATCTGATGCAAAAATGGAAGAAAACCAGTGTTTCTTCACACCCACTTGCTTCTGAGAACGTTGATTGTTTTCTTCGTCACTTTTATTTCCAAACATCCGAAACAACTTAAACCCGGTCCCTGCAACATCAAACATGAATGGAAATAGAAAATATTTCTTCAAGGTCAAGATAGATGAGATTCATACCTGTGGGCATGAAAATGCTGAAGCATGACAAACATCTGAATACATCTGGCTCTATTTGATGATCATATTCATTAGATGCAGGTGGCTGAACATCGTCTAAACTAAGCTCACTTCCATTCTGAGCTTGACTGTTGCTTGAAACAACATTCACTTGAGAAGGAATGGGAGTTTCCGACTTGTTACGCTTCGCATCTTCACCAGGAGCTGGAATCCTGCGTTTCCTTTTACGAAGAATTACCCTTTTGGTGATACAAGAATTACAGTTAGGACAGTACAAATCATGTGTATCCTGCTTCTTTAATACCGTCTCCACATCAAATTCAGTTATTTCATTCTCAACATCTTTAATCACTTCAATATCACTGCTTTCTGTTTCAATGTTTATGTATGATGGGGAACTTTTGTCGAATGATATTTCAGAAGGCTGAAGATTACCATCAGAAAACTCGTCATGCTTTTGGTGTTCGGCATTTTGGTTTTGGTGTTCGGCATTTTGGTTGTTGACAACATGGTACAGACCATTCCCATTTTCTTGATTATGGCTTGCTACATTGGTGTTCTCTTGCAAATGGTTTTTCTCATGAGCAGTTGAATCAATACCATTTGCAGATGATTCACCATGCAACCCAGTACCTGCAAATATAGATAAATTAGACCATTATGTAACAGTAAGGGGTAAAATAGTCAGTTCGGTCATATCAAACAAAACAACAATTTAGCTTAATTCATACAGACAACTTAAATCTAAAGGCTTAAAAGAAAAAACAACCAAACCACCTCTTAATCTTCTATGTTTTGAAAGCCAAAGTAACTTTTCAGATGATATCCAGACAGTGAGAAGTCACTGAATAGTATGGCTGTCCCGATAAAATTGCAACACTTACCTTTTCTAGGATGTCGGATGAAAATTGAGACGTTTCCTTTTTTAGCAAAAAGGTTACGTATTAGCCAAATTGATTACATGCCATAGCGTTGAAGAAACAATAATGCCAATGTGATGTAGGTTGTCTAGTGAGATATCCATAAACACAAATCACACTGAACTGCTGGAGGCACCGACATTTGCTCAAAAAATGCTAATTACTCAACGCCAATCTGCTATGGGATCCGATGGCAACTTTCAAACATTCATCATAAATCGAGGGGTTTATTACCTTTGGTTTCACTAAAAAGACATGGTCTGTGTTGGCCTACAGTTTTCACATTCACCAGCATATGCGAAGGTTCGTGATTATGATCAGTGAGACACGTTCTACCCTCACAATCCCACGAGCAGATTCGACATTTCCATATTCCTTCAGTCACAGAAAAGGGAAAAAGATGCAATTTCTTAATTACCTGATATTGAAATCCAGATGTAGCAATTCTATCCAAACAATCTACAGTTTTTGTTACACTGAGTAAAGTAGCTTGTTTGACATTGAAGGCTGAAGCATAAAAACTAGTAAAGGGTGTTGTGCATTGACAGATATGATGCATCTCCATTGACTTACCCCCCCCCCCCCCCAAAAAAGTCAAAATGCCCTAATCTCTAGGGTTTTCCAGCAATCCCACTTGCAGATTATATGAAAGCTGTCTAATTTTATAATTTAATTCAATTAATTAACAAAAAGTCTGAAAAATTACAGATTTGAACATGATGTAGAACAGAGATCAGTGGCATTGTGAATCAGTGATTTTGTTCACATAACAGTTTTTCAAGAAAAGCTCACTACTGAACTGAATACAGAAAGATGATGATGATGATTGATGAGTCCAAAGAGAGAATATATCAAAAAAGAAAACAACCCAATAATCATTAAGCACCAGAAAAGAGAACCAGATTCAAGAATCACCTTAAACAGGAAGAAGATACCTCAGCCTGACTGCAAACCAAATAGGAAAGAGAGAGAGAGGTGGGGTTTTTTATGAAGAAAAAACTAAATAAGAAACAAAGGTGGGTCTTCATGGGGTATAAATTAAGAAATTAGAAACAGCAACTACTACTGTGCTATTATTAGATTCAGATCTCCATTTTGTATTTTACCTTTATCTGTATCATAATAAACACAATACTCTTGTTTCTCTTTCTCTGTTTCATCTTCATCAATCTTTATGCCATTTTGTTGAATAAAATCTTGGACCACTTCATCTTCTCCTTGTTGCTTCCATTCTTCACCATCAACTGAACTACTACTGCTCATTTCACCATCAAATGTTGATGAATTGTTGGTGGAAAATGGGGTTTGATGGAGGTTTCTTTTTCTGGGTATTAAGCTCTGATCCAATTCATCAGCTTCTTGCTGCTGTTCTACCTCCATTAGAGAGATGGAATATGGATAGGGAGGAGATGATGTGAGTGGAGGCAGTGAAGTTTGCAAAATCTTGAACAATATTTTTATATTTTCAGAAATTTATGTCTGAACAAGAAAGAAAAAGAAGCTTATCTTGGTGCATGTACATCACAATCATAAGACCTTGCTTATATCTCTATTCTCCCCCATCACACTCTTCAAGACTGGCACGTTTTCATCAATGAAAAACGAAGAAATAATATTTGAAATGGTTTCCAGCCGTTGGATCATAATTGTATTTGATCTGAATCATTTAAATGGGTTCTTTTTTCATCACACAATGATGAACTTCTTTGATGTTATTCATTCATGTGTCGTTCAAATTCGAAGTAATAATAATTTCACCAACTTATTGTGTTATTGTTTATAAATATCAAGGGTTGTTTGTTTATTTCTTAATAGTTTCATTAAGAAGCGGTTTTTGAATCGTTAAGAGGTAAATCTTGTTAGGCCAAAAAAATTATGTTTCTTGAGGTTCTAAAACTTTCTGAATGATTTTGTATGTTAGGTCTTCTTTAACCATTCAACACATTAATTTCATTTTGAATAATTATCAAACAATTATATTTAATTTTGCATTTTTTATAAGTCTCTTAATCATTCTGACCACTTAATCATTTTGCATCATACCATTCAGCAACTGCCAAACAGACCCTAGATAGTGTATTTGTTTTAGGAGAAAAGTTTAAAAACTCTAATGGATTTCGATTTTGTTAGTTTTTGGATAATTTTTTTAAATTAATAAATCATTAAACTTTTTAAAATTAAATAAATAGATTATTTTGATCTGTGAAAAAAACTTGGTCTATGTTCCGCAAAACTAACTGATCAGCTACTTGATGGTTGATAAAAGTCGATAAGTTATTTAATAGTTGAAATGATAGTTGATAAACAAATCATATTTGACAAACACTAGTTGATAAACTAACTGATGAACAAAAATCATATTTGACAAAAACTAGCTGATAAGCATGTAAAATAACCAAAAATAGCATCTTGAAAAATTATTGAACTACAATATTTTATAATATAATATGTTAATTAATACAAACAAGATATTAAAGAAAAATTAAATAATATACAATATTAATTAAAATAATTAAAATTGATTATTATATATTATATTTGTTGGATTTGTTAAAACAAATTTTATAAAAAAATATATACATTAATTTATGATCTTCAATAATCCTTACTTATAATATGGATTAAAAAAAAGATTCAGAAATTGGAACAATTCCGCTCATTCCTGTCAATCGCTTCAGGCTTGTCCCTCAACTTACATAGCAACAAGGATGGTGCGTTGCCTACTTCTCGTTCTCGCTCGTTCAGGGTCCTTTAGAACCGCAAAACAAAACGGTTCCGGTGGGATATTCTCCTTCATTTATGTTTACTTCGTTCCTACCCTCCGGAGCAAGAAGAATGAGATGGAATAGCGTGTCATTTCGGAATCGTTCATAAGTTTTCCCACAACTAAATAGAAACGAGTATTTGCTACAGGTGCATAATCAGACCGAACGAAAGTTAGAATCACTGACCTGGACCTTCCCTTAAACGAGTCACGGAGCTCTCAACGAAGTGGAGATTCTTATAAAACCCCCCAACAAGAACCTCCATTGTGGATGTTCTAACTTTGCTATGGTTGAAAAAGCCGTTCTCAAACGTTTTGCAAAAGTCAAGAAAACCTAATAGACTTTCTGACTTTAAATAATTAAATCACTTAGATAATCTTTAAACAAATAAATCTCAAGACTCTCTAACCAATTAATCAGATCATTTTATTTAATTAGTTAAAAAAGTACAGAGATTTTTATGTTCAAACTTTTTAACAAATACTTCATTGTTTAAAATCGAAAAGTTCGTTGGATTTTTTAATTCTTTTTTTGTTATTTTTATTGTTTGTCAGCACGTGTAGCTGATCACTAAAAGGGCTAAAATAATCATTTTGGAGGCGTACATTACAAAATAGCTAATATATCGTATTTTGCTACAAATAATCTTGGAGTTTGCAAAGTGACATTTCGAATTTTCTTTTTTTTGCAAGATGCACTTTTTTCTATTATTGTTTATAATCCATTATCTAATCAATGTAATTGTTTAGCTATTTTGAGTAAAATAACTGATAAACTAACTGATAGCTGATAAGCAAATCATATTTAATAAAAACTAGTACATAAACTAGATGAAGAATGTAAAATAACCAAAAATCACATCCTTCAATTACAACATTTCATAATGTCATTAAAACATATATTTAATAATATAATATGTCAATTAATACAAATAAAATGGTAAAGTGAAATTAAATAATATAATATGTTAAAA